TTTCCGGCCGATGAATGGTCCTTCAGGTAGAGTAGATTTTCAGCCGATGGGTCCTCGCGACGGTGGAAGTTTTCGCCCTATGGGTTATGCCTTCGATGGTGGTTTCCGTCCGATGGGTCATAATAACAGAGGCGTAGGAGTTGAAGATACGCGGCCAATTGTTGGAGCTGGTRGAGGAAGAGGAGGATTTCGGCCTAGCGGACCCGTGAAGTTTCCGTCACCGGAAAAGCTTGATGGAGGGAGATTTATCGGCGATTCTGACTATTCTGTAAGACTGCCTCCACCACCGCCTGTACAACAGCGTCTTTCCGGTCAGAAAASAGGCCTTCCCCTCTCGGAGCATGGCAGCTTTACTGGAACTGGTAAGTCTTGGTTCACTCTTCCTACTATGTCTCTTTGTTCTTGTAATTTAAGGGTTCTTGTAAATTGTTGAATGTGTTTCATGTGATGATCTTTACATTTTCATTTGTATGTGATAATCAGAACTATTTCCCATCCTCATAAGTAAACATCCTTAGCTGGTAATTTGTTTTGTAGATGCTTCTGATCGTAGCAGTGTCGTCAAGCTTTTTGTTGGCTCCGTACCAAGGACAGCTATAGAAGAAGAAGTGAGTTAATCTGGATTTTTCTTTTAAACTTGTTCTTTGTATATGTTCATTGTTGAGATATACCACTTTTTCTAATGTCTCTCTGTTTGTTGGTTTTTACATTCCAGGTCCGTCCCTTTTTTGAGCAACATGGAAATGTTCTTGAGGTTGCTTTGATAAAGGACAAGAAAACTGGACAACAGCAAGGTATGTTAGTCTCTGTTTTAGTAGTAAATAGTTGTGATTTGTACTTTTTAAGATTTCAGGTCTCCTGAAAAGGCTGATGGGAAGCAACCACAGTCTCATCATTGGCCTCCATTTGTTTGCAACAATTTTCGGGCTTATTGCTTATGCTTGCGAGTTGCGAGCGTCTTATCTGTGTTGGGCTCTGTCACAGAAGAAGGCTACTTGTGTAGCTTCTTAAGAAAGGGTTTATGTATTGACATTAGGCAAGTAGGCTGTGCTACTTGTGTCTGTCTTAGAACTTTAGATGTGTTTGAAAAGTGTAGCAGACTTTACTGAGTGTGTTTTAAAGTTGGAGTTATTGTACAAAAAATTGAAAAGATGTTTTTGTTGTTACCTTTGTAGTGGGTATTGGTTCAAAGAGCATCGCTATTGTCCTCTCCCATTGAATTCCATCTTTCTTTACTCTTCCATCGATGGATTGAACAATGTTGTGTATGGTCTTGACACGATGAATGTATATTTAGGTGGGTAGTTTGACAAGGTTCAAAAGATGGTTTGTCTGATTTGCTTCCCCTGCTGGTCAATATTTGGCCTGTGCTTAGTATTTATATCATGTTGGCTGTTTAACGGCTTCATTTTCTTTGATATCCACGTTTGGATGTTCCGTCTCTAATAGTTGATGAAATTCCTAGTACCTTTTTGGATGCTTTATGCTGAATGGATGCTTTTCCTCTCTTTTTTTTGTTTTCTTGTGGATTCCCCGAGGAAATATCATGACTGTTATCCTTTCCCCTCTCTTTGAATGGCCTGGGATGTCGATTTGTTGTATGTTCCTCCCTCTCTTTGAATGGCCTGTGATGTCGATTTGTTATATGTTCCTCCCTCTCTACTGCTTGGATGTCTTGTGATGCAATTTACTATCTCTCGCTATAAATGAATGAACGAATGTTTCTTTAAGTTGAGTAGCTCTTATATTTCTGAGTTGTTTTTGTTGATATATTTTGTTTGTATTCTTTTCACCAACCAAGCCTTTGAGGTTGGTTTTGTTTCTTTTTTTAGTGGTCTTATCTTCATTATTGAGGTTCCTCTTCTTTTACAATTCCATTAAGTTGTCTTATTTTGTCTGTGTACTGCATATATTTATTATATATTTACTTTCTAAGAGGTTGTTACATCTATAAATGCTAGACCTTTGTGGCCGGCATTACAAGTGCATTCGATTTTGGTAACTCCTGTTCTCATTATCACAGTCTGAATGCAGTGGATTCATACAACTATTTCTCGAGTTCTGTGAAATGTTAGTTGGTGCAAACATATGTAATGCAAATGATTGCTTTATTTTCTTAGAATAGTTTAAGATGTTAAATACATCATAGTGACTCACTTGCACTTGATGGATCAATCAGCTTCAGGCAGTAGTTTAATCATGTAATACATGAAGCAAGGCTATATTATCTTTTCTAAATTGCAACTCTTTACCGTTGGATTATGGTATTTTGAACCTTTGGATCTTAAGTTTGGCTCATCGACATTCATGCCCGTAACTGTACTTTATTTTGTGAATTCAAACGTTTTCAAGTGCATGATGTATGTGAGGGAAATGTGATATATGATTCTGGTTTAAATTAGATTATGTTACTTGGCAATGATTGAAATTTCTTACATGCTGAATCCTTTATATTGGTCCTGCAGTCATGTTTTGTGTTGGTACTATATTGTACTTTTTATATATTTTCTTCCAATGTATGGATCTTATTTGCACCAACTCAGCCAACTTTTTTCTGAAAGGCTCTCTTGTGTATATGTCACCTGCAGATACCCACTGTGTTATTTATTAAATATATTCTTTCTTTTTTGCAACATGCTCCGTTAGAAAACATTAGATTACTCTGTCCAACAATTTTACTCCGATTATTCTAAATGGAAGCTGTCAGGACATGTCTTTTGATTTTTCTGCCAAACTTAAGTGTTTTGAGTAGTGCCATTTATTTCTTCTAGATTATGTTGTGGCTTGTACCTCTTGATGTTGATAGAGAGGAAAAAGAACCTTGACCAGATAGCTTAAGTATCAGTCTTTAATGCAGGATGTTGTTTTGTAAAATATGCAACTTCTGAAGATGCGGATAGAGCCATTAGAGCATTGCACAATCAGATCACTCTTCCTGGGGTAATTGCCACTGTTACTTTCTGTTATCAAGAACAGGAAACTACAGCTTGTTTCACATATAAAATTTGTTTGATTTACAGGGAACTGGTCCTGTTCAAGTTCGATATGCTGATGGTGAGAGAGAACGGATAGGTAATCAACTTCCTGGTTTAAGCTTGTATCTTGACGTGGCTTTCGTTTACACTGTATAAATTCAAACTACAAGAATTGAGATAATGAGTGAACGAATGATAGTGATGTGAATCCTATCTTTTTTGGTCTTTGCCTCCCTCTCAAGTCTCAACTGATTTTAATTTCCTCCTTCTGAAGGTGCGCTAGAGTTTAAGCTTTTTGTTGGTTCACTAAACAAGCAAGCGACTGAAAAAGAAGTTGAAGAGGTATGTATCGTACCCTACCTTTTGATGAAAGTCATTACTTATGGCAGATTAACAGAACAGGGAAGAGTTCTAAATTTAAATATTACAGTGTCCCTCTTTGCCTTAGTTGATAATTTGTAAATGAATTTATGATCATTTTTTATAATCTTTCACTGGGTGAAACTTTTTGAAATGGATCTATCAATTAAATACAATCGATAAAGGAGAACGGCTACTTTTTTCCTTGAAATTATTTGATTGTTGTTCTATAACAGATCTTTTTGCAATTTGGCCGTGTGGAAGATGTCTATCTCATGCGTGATGAATATAAACAGAGTCGTGGTATGTCTTGTAATTGCTACTAAAATTTATTATATTGTTTGATGTGTGATGGTGTTGAGATGTTCAAACCTTGTTTTTTGCCCATGTAGGATGTGGGTTTGTTAAATATTCAAGCAAAGAGACGGCGATGGCAGCGATTAATGGTCTCAATGGAACTTATACTATGAGGGTAAGCTGTGAATCACATTAATATCTCAGCCTTTGGACCTGTTTTGTTTACT